CGCAGGGACTTCGAGCTGAGCCAGCTGAAGGACGTTCTGGACATCCTGGCGGGCTCCTCCGTCGCGCCGCGGACAGGCCTCGGAAGGGGGGGGGGGCAATGGGCCAGATGGGCCGGCAGTGGAGGAAGGGAGGCGTATCGAACGAGAAGCGGACATCTGCACTCCGCGGCCACGCGCGCCACCGTCGCCCAGCCCGCCCACAGCCAGGCCGGAGGGGCCGGCAGTGGAGGAAGGAAGGCGTATCGAACGAGAAGCAGACCATCGGCGCTCCGCGGGCCACGCGCGCCTCCGTCTCCCGGCCCGCGCACGGCCAGGCCAGAGGGGCCGGCAGGGGAGGAAGGAAGGAAGGCGCACCGAACGAGAAGCAGACCATCGGTACTCCCCGGCCACGCTTGAGTCGGGCCTGTCCCTCTCTACAGGAGGAATATTCAAAAATAGTGTTAAGAATTAGTCGGGGGATGTTTTTTGATCATGTTTGACTGTTTAATTCAGCATTTGTCCCTACCTAGGCTCTGCCTAGAAAAGTTCTTACTGTGTTTTCTTAAAGGGCCGGGCAGTGGAAATCGCCCCGGGCGGTTCCCCCGGCATCCGCCCCGCGGTTCCCCCAGTTACGTCCCCTTAGCTTAGCGTTGCTTGTAGCATCTTAGCTTAGCTTATTTCATCTTAGCTTAGCGTAGCGTCGTCTTAGCCCAGGTTTATCTTAGTTTAGCTTACCTTCATCTTAGCTTCGCTGAGTTTTAGCATAGCAGAGCACAGCGTAGCATAGCATAGCGCAGCACAACATACCATAGCATAATCCAGCATAGCATAGCATAGCGCAGCACAGCATAGCATAGCATCGCATAGCGCAGCTTAGCATAGCATATCATAGCATAGCTTAGCATAGCATAGCGCAGCATGACATAGCATAGCACAGCATAGCAAAGCATAGCATAGCATAGCGCAGCATAGCATAGCATATCATAGCATAGCGCAGCATAGCATGGCATGGCATAGCATGGCATAGCATAGCAACTAATGCTGCTTTCCTGGGAGCCCCAACTTCTAGGTAGAGTCGCACTGGGGTAATTGCTGCATGTTCGGCTTGTTCCTACCAACATCCGCCTCTACGGGGACACGCCCGACCTAAGGCCACGCGCGCCTCCGTCGCCCGGCCCGCGCACGGCCCCGTGCCCCAGTGCCCCATGCCCCACGCCCGAGCTGCCCGCCTCCGTCCCCGCGCCCGAGGACGGCGGGCCTGCCCCCCACCCCGCGGGCCATCGGCAGGGGCCCTCTCGGCATCGCTCCTATTTGTGCATACTCACCCTCCTCACCCTCCTCCTCCTCCTCCTCCTCCTCCTCCTTCTCCTCCTCCTCCTCCTCCTTCTCCTCCTCCTCCCCCTCGTCGTCGTCCTCCTCCTCATCCTCCTCCTCCTCCTGCTCCTCCTCCTCCTCCTCACCCTACTCCTTCTCCTCACCCTCCTCCTCCGCCTTCCCCTCCTCCTCCTCGAATCCTCCTCCTCCTCCTCCTCCTCCTCCTCCTCCTCCTCATCCTCCTCCTCCCCATCCTCCTCCTCCTCCTCTGGGGTCCGCCTCCCTGCCCTGGACCCGTCTCTCGAGGAGGAGGCATCAACTCGGTTTCTTACTAAGCGTGGGGGGTACCCCCACGACGGGGGTCAGCCTCGCCGCGTCGTCGCGCCGCGACAGGGGTCGGAGCGCCTTCGGCGCGCGGTAGCTGCCCGCGACGGGGGTCGACGTGGGGCTGTCGGCGGGGGTGAGGCCCCCCCCCCCCCGACGCTTTTTAAGAAACTCGGAGTATGTTTCTCGGGGAGGGCCATCGGGGAGCTCAACGGATCATCTTACGATTAAGTCGGGCGTGTCCCTCTACAGGAGGAAAATGCAAAAATGGTAGAAACACATCAAGGGATGGTTGTTTGACTATTTCTGACTATGTTTGAGCGTTTTGGGGGGGTATGTTCTAAATGTTGTATCCACAGCCCCTCTGTAGGGGGACACGCCCGACCTAGTCTTGCGACGACATGCACGCACGACGTCGAGAAATCAACGGGGAAGGGACGTCCGAGCGACGGCAGGCCCAGGGGCCACCCCCTTGGACGACCTGCCTCGCGGGGCGCCCCGCCGCCGGCGGGCCCCGCTTCCCCCCCGAGGCCTCGAGGCCGCCTCCGCGGGCCTCGGCGCCGAGCGCGCGGCGGCCGAGCCTCTCCGCGGGCCCGGGCGCTCGGCTCTGGATCAGGAGGAGAAAAAACACACAGACACAATTAATCGTCGATTCCCAAGAAAATATGGGAAACTATGGGAAGTGGGTGGGAAGACAAAAGCCCAGAAACTATGGGTAGATATGGGGCATCCTTTTATTTGTGTGTATTTATTTGTGTGTCCCAGGGCCCCTTCACTGGAGCAGACCCGCTCGCCTCTCGCGGCCCGCGGCGGCGCCCCGCCGGGCAGCCCCGCGCGTGCGCTCGGCGCGTGGCGCCTGGGCGGTCCATGGCGCGAGGCCGGCCGCGCGCGGCGGGCGGGCTTCCCCCGCGGTGCCCGCGGGGGCGGCGGGGCGCGCCTCGCCGCGGCGCGCCTCGCCTCCCGCGCCCTGCCGCAGGGCCAATGCCTCCCCCCCACGGCCTCCCGTCGTCCTCCACTGCTCCTCCCGGCCCGCGCGGCCCTGCGCTGCCCCGCCTATCCCCTCGGGCACCCGAGACGGAGAAGCCCTGAGTCACCCCTCGGCTGCGGACGGATCGGCCCTCGGCCGCCGGCGGATCGCCCTCGGTGACGGCGGCGCCCTCCCCTCTCCCTCCGCCCGCCCCCCTCCTGCCGCCTCTTCCGCCCCCCTACCTCCTCCCTCCTCCCCTCCCTCCTCCCTCCTCCCCTCCCCTTCCCTCTCCCCTCCCCCCTTCTCGCCCCGCCTCCCCTCGGGCACCCCTCCCCCTCCCGTCCTCCGCCGAGTGCGGCGGGAGGGGGCGGTCAGCAGCAGGGGGGCCCCGACGGGGGAGGGGCATTACCAGCCTCGAGCGTATCCCTATCCCTAAGATTGACACGCCACAAGGCGATGACAGTCTTAGGGATCCGCCCTCAAAAAGTAGGGGCATCCCGAAGATTGGCATCGTGATGAGGAGGTGCCCAGCATAGGGATAGGGATATGTTCCAGGCTGGTAAGGGCAGGAGGAGGAGGACGGCGGCGGCGGCGACGACGAAGCCTCGGTCCTCGTTCTCCAGGGGGGAGGGGGTGGGCGGCGCGCTGCACGGAGGCAGAGCACCGCGACGAGCGGGAGGGAGGACAAGCAGGACGATGGCGAGGCGACGATGCCGACTGGGGTGGCGACGGTGGCGACGACGACAACAGCGGCGAGGGCGACGACGACGGCGAAGAGGACAACGCAGATATCCACGACGTCGTCGATGACGACGACGGCGATGGCGAAGACCACCTCGACGGTGGCGATGACGACGACGACGACGACGACGACGACGACGACGACGACGCACGACGACGACGACGACGCACGGCAACGACGACGACGACGACGAAGACGACGACGAAGAAGGCCCCCCGGCGGGAGGTCTCGCGCAGCAGCAGACCACCCTGATGAGCGGGGGGCTCGGTGCGGGTCTCCCGAACGGCCGCAGGCCGGAGATTCGAGTGCTGACCCGCACACAGTTGCGCGGTGCGGTGCGCCGCCGGTTCTGGCCTACCACGCTGTCTGCGCGACACGTCGTTTGAGACCAACAGTCGTCAAGCTCTCAACTTCTTCGCCACCAAAGATCGAAGAAGTACAGCTGCATAAAGGTAACATGTCCCAGGTCCGCGCAGGTTTCTTGAATCGGCAATGGCCCCGCTCTCCCTGGCGCGCGAAGCGCGCCGAAGGCGCCGCCAGGGGCTCCCATCCCCCACGCAAGACATCCGCGCGGACCTCCAAGCAAACATGTTTATGGTCATATTTGTGGGGTCACGATGTGGTAGATTATGCTTGTAACTTGTTCATGTACACATATACACCTGAACCTATGTATGTATATATATGTATGGATTGGACTATGTTTGTGCGAGATGTGTAAACTGCATACTTGTACTACTCTCTGTCTACGTGCTAGACTTGTGGCGCGCATCCAGGGGGGCGCGCCATGTTGCCCGTGTCGATGCAGACCAGCATGATGCCGACTCGCGTGCCCGTTGTTGCCCGATCCGACGCACGTTCCGATCCGATCCGATTTCCCGATTCCGTGCGGATCGATCTTCCAGCACGGGCACGCGTCTTCATCCCTCCGACGACGATGGCAACGACGACGACGACGACGCTCGACGACGAAGACGACGACGCACGACGACGACGACGACGACGACGCACGACGACGACGACGACGCACGACGACGACGCACGACGACGACGACGACGACGACGACGACGACGACGACGCACGACGACGACGACGACGACGACGACGACGACGACGACGACGACGACGACGACGACGACGACGACGACGCGCGGCGCGCGACGCGCGACGACGACGACGTCGACGACCACGACCATAGCGACGACGACCTCCCTGGGGAACTTCGAGATTCGAGCACCGAGGGTCCCAGGCCAACGCAGGCGGAGCCTCGGCCGGCCCTGCCGTCCCCCTCCCGCCGGAGGGGCCGCCGAGGCAAGCGCGAGCTGGCCCTCCTGAGCGGGCTCACCAACGAGGCGGCCTGACGGGCTCGCTCCGAGGCGGGGGGGTTCTCTCCGAGGGGCTTGGGCGACCCGTCTCCTCCTCCGCCGCCTCCTCCTCCATCTCCCCCCCCTCCTCCTCCCCCTCCTCCCCTCCTCCTCCTCCTCCTCCTCCTCCTCCTCCTCCTCCTCTTCTTCCATCTCCTCCCCCTCCTCCCTCCTCCTCCCTCCTCCTCCTCCTCCTCCTCCTCCTCCTCCTCCTCCACCACCTCCTCCCCCCTCCTCCTCCAACTCCTCCTCCATCTCCTCCTCCTCCTCCTCCTCCTCCTCCTCTCTCCTCCTCTCCTCCCTCCATCTCCTCCTCCTCCTCCTCCTTCCTCCAATCCTCCTCCTCCTCCTCCCTCTCCTCCTCCTCCTCCTCCTCCTCCTCCTCCTCCTCCTCCTCCTCCTCCTCCCTCCTCCTCACCCCTCACCCTCCTCCTCCATCTCCACCTCCACCTCCTCCTCCTCCTCCTCCTCCCTCCTCCTCCTCCTCCTCCTCCTCGTCCTCCTCCTCCTCCTTTTCGGGTCGCCTACGGCCCCGGGGGAAACCGTGCACTCCGAGGTGGTCGCCGCCCTCGCCAGCCAGAGGCCATGGCGGCGGTTGTGCGCGGTGCCGTGCTCGTGCCCAGGGCGCGAAAAAGACGCTCGCGTCCGCCGTCTCGGGGGCGGCGAGGGGTGGCGTGAGAACTGTCCAGGGGCGTTTCCTCCGTCGGGGGTGTCCAAGCGGGGGCGAGGACCAGGGTCGCTTGGAGATTGCCTGCAGCTACGCGTCGTCCAGAGCTGTCCAGGGGTGCCCAGATCGTCCAGCATGGCCGCCGGAAGCCAGAGCTCTGACCCGAAAACCACGAGGCGCCAAGGAGGGGCGTGAGGACTTGAGGGGGTGGGGGGGAGATGCCATGGGCGGGGCCATGACATCTCCCAGATTCCATTGCCCCTTCAGCTTCTTTCGATACGTCCCTTGGCCCTCGTCCGTGCACGTGTCTCGGGCCATGATGCGCAAACCCTCATCTACTTGCCCCCATTTTCGGCGCATCCGACCTCCTCTTCCTCCCGCCCCCTCCTTCTCCTCCTCGTCCCCCTCCTCCTCTTCCTCCTCCTCCTCCTCCTCCTCCTCCTCCTCCTCCTCCTCCTTGTCGTCCGGTGCACGGAGCAAGCCGTTCAGCCGCTTGAGTGCCGCTTTCCGATGAAGCCAGAGGAAGCCGTTGGACGGACCCCATAAGGAGAGGCTGGGGACCCAATAAGGAAGAGGCTCCCGCTCGAGACTTCCCCTGCATTCACTCTCAGATAAGGCCCCCGCTCGAAACATCCGCACGAATCGCCTCCTAGCGGCGCTCAAGTGCTATGTCTGCTAGGGTAGGCCAATGGCCGCCTGAGATTCGAACACCAAGCGGGACCCCATGGGGAGGGGGCTCCCGCTGCAGACTTCCTCGCCGCCACTCACAGATGAGACCCCCCGCTCGGGACACCCCCGCGACTCGCCTCGCAGGGGTGCCCAAGTGCTGTGCCTGCTATGGTAGGCCGATGACCGCCTGGGATGCGAACGGGAAGTGGGAACCCCATAACTAGTGGGGAGGGGTCCCCGCTCGAGACACTGCCTCGCCATTCGCTCACCGATGAGGCCCCCGCTTCGAGACATCCTCGCGATTCGCCTCCTGGGAGCGCTTCAGTGCTATGCCTGCTATGGTGGGCCGATGGACCGCATGAGATTCGAACGCCAAGCGGGGACCCCATGGGGAGGGGGCTCCCGCTCGAGACACTCCCTCGCCATTCACTCACAGATGAGGCTCCACCGACGGCCCGGAGACAAGGATTTCCCCCTGCCCCCGATTTGGCCGCCGATGTATTACCACAGGCGACCCAGACGCAAAGGTTTCCCCCTGCGCCCGATTCGGACGCGGATGGTTTACCACCTGCGGCCCCAGACGAAAGGCTGTCCTTCTGCGCCCGGTTCGGCCCCGGATGGGCTACCACCCGCGGCCCAGGCACGAGGGCTTCACCTTGTGCCCAGTCTTCGTCGTCCTACTGAATTCCTGTCCTTCCTATTCCTTCTCCTTCGATGAGTCGAGCGGGTGGCCTTCCAGGGAGCTCAGGAGTGACGACCGTTACAGAATTTGGATGACTCCGCTCAGATTGGCCCGCGAGGGCTCTCATCACCCTGTTAGAGTGTTTGGATGACCTGCTCGGCTTCCAGCATGTAGGTGAGGGCTCGCATCACTGGTCAGAGCTCGCATCGCCTTGTTACAGCGCTTGTATGACCCGCTCGGATTTCAACATGAAGTGTGGGGCCCATAAGAAGCGGGCTTCCGCTCGAGACATCCTCGCTGTTCGCTCACAGGCGATGACCCCGCTCGAGACATCCTCATGATTCAATACATATGAGGCTCCGCTCGAAACCATCCTCACGATTCGCTTCCTAGGTGTGCTGAAGTGCTATGCCTGCTATGATAATTAGGCCGATGATCGCCTGAGATTCGAACGTGAAGTGGGAGGTCCCTGCTCGAGACACTTCCTCGCCATTCACTCTCAGATGCGGCCCCCGCTTCGAGACATCCTTCCGATTCGCCTCCTAGGGGCGCTCAAGTGCTATGCCTGCTATGGTAGGCCGATGACCGCCTGGGATTCGAGCATGAAGTAGGGACCCCATAGGGAAGGGGGCTCCCGCTGCAGTTTCCTCACCATTTGCTCACAGACGAGGCCCCGCTCGAGAAATCCTCACGATTCTACTCCTAGGGGTGCTTAAGTATTAAGCCTGCTATGGTAGGCCGATGACCGCCTGGGATTAGATTCGAACATGAAGCGGGGTCCCATAGGGAGGGGGCTCCCGCTGGATATTTCCCCGCCACCACTCACAGATGAGGCCCCCGCTCGAGATATCCTTACGATTCGCTTATAAAGATGCTGAAGGTTATGCCTGCTGCGGTAGGCCGATGACCGCCTGGGATTCGATCATGAAGCGGGGACCACATACGGAGTGGCTCCCGCTCAAAGCACTTCCTCGCCATTCACTCACGGATGAGGCTCCCGCCCGAGAGGTCCTCACGATTCGTTCCCTAGCGGCGCTCAAGTGCTGTGCCTGCTGTGGTACGCCGATGATCGCTTGGGATTCGAACTCGAAGCGGGGACCCCATAGGGAGGCGGCTCCCGCTGCAGACTTCCTCGCCGCTACGCACAGACGAGACCCCCCGCTCGAGACATCCCCGCGACTCGCCTCCCAGGGGTGCTCAAGGGGTATGCCTGCTATGGTAGGCCGATGACCTCCCAGGTTCAAACATGAAGCGGGGACCCCCATAGGGAGGCGGCTCCCGCTGCAGACTTCCCCGCTGTTCACTGTCAGATGAGGCCACCCGCTCGAGGCATCCTCACGAGTCGCCTCCTAGGGGTGCGCAAACTCTATGCCTACTATAGTGGGCCGATGGCCGCTTGGGATTCGAACATGAAGTCATCGGGGAGGGGCTCCCGCTTGAGATTTCCCCGCCATTCACTCACAGTCGAGGCTCCCGGTCGAGAGGTCCCCAATCTGATTGTGAGTGATTGTGAGTGAGAGGGAGAGTGTGTGTGCGTGTGTGTGTGTGGTGTGTGTGTGTGTGCGTGCGTGCGTGCGTGCGTGTGTGCGTGTGTGTGTGTGTGTGTGTGCATGTGTTTGTGTGTGTGTGTGTGTGTGGGAGTGTGTTGGTGGTGATGATCACGATGATCATGGTGATGCTGACGGCGACGATGATGGCGATGAGTTGCATACGGCGGTGATGATGATGATGATGTTGCTGATGATGATGATGATGCTGATGGCGTTGATGATGTTGATGATGCTGATGCTGAGGATGATGACCATGATGATACTTATGATGTTGATGAAGATGATTATGTTGCAACTGGTGATGGTGATGTCGATGGTGATGGTGATGGTGATGCTGCTGATGATGCTGACGATGGTGATGATGATGATGATGATGATGATGATGATGATGATGATGATGATGCTGATGACGGTGGTGATGGCGATGGTGATGCCGATTAGCGAACTGATGATCCTGATCGGATGATGATGCTGATGATGCTGATGTTCGTGCTGGTGCTGATGCTGTTGTTGGTGCTGCAGATGCTGATGGCGATTATGATTCTGGCGATGGTTGTGTGATGGTGATGATGATGAAGGAGAGTATGAATATGATGATGACAACGGTGGTGATGATAATAATGATGATGGTGATGCTGATGATGTGAATGGTACGGATGGCGATGGTGGTGATGCCGATTATGATGATGCTGATGATGTTGCTGCTGCTGGTGATGATGATCAGGCCGATGCTGATATTGATGATGATCTTGGTGATAGTGATGGTGATCGTGACGAGTGTGAAAGGAGAGGGTTCAGAGGGGATGGTGCTGTGATGGTGATGGTGCGCTTGAGAAAAAGGAGAGAGGAGAGGGGGTGTGAGGTGAGCTGTGAGGACTGCGCGGGGTGCCCAGAGAAGATAGGAACCTCACAGAGGACGTGGGGAACAAATCTGTCTGGCAGGGCCGCCACACACGGAATCCTCGCGTGAGGCCGCCACGGAATTTATCTATTTGCAAGGCCGCCGCAAAAAAGATGACATTGAGCTTTCCCACGCAGAACAAACAGTATCCGAGGCCACTGCACAAGAACACATCAGCACAGTCGCAATGATTGAAACGGGAAGCAACTCCAGGAAGAGGTAAGATAAACAACAGGAGCATACACACACACAAACAACGAACGTTTGTGGTACAGACGCTGTTTGACCAAAGCTGCGGGAGGGAGGGGGGGGGGGCAGGCCCAAATTGGGAGGAGGATGGAGGTGGTGGGCAGGGGGACGGTGATGATGGGTAGGAGAGGGGACAGGCGGAAGGGGTGGGATGGGGTAGGGGGGGGGGAAGTAGAGGCGGAGAGCGACCAGGAGAAGTAAGATCGGACAAAATAAATAATACAGTAAGGAGGCGCAATCGGTGGAGGACAAGGGACGTGATGATGATGGTGATGAGGATTACGGTCTTAGCACTGCTACTACATGCCACTCCCTCCTGCTGGAGGCGAGCCCAGCAGCCGATGGCCAGGGCGGCCGTGCGGTCAAGGCTAGGCCAGCACGCGCGGGGGACTCAACGGTGCCTCCCGTTGTCGCCGCTGTCGCCGCCGTCGCTTCCTTCCGTTCCTCTTCCTGGTGCTGCTGCTGCTGCTGTTGCGCCTCCTCCTCCTCCTCCTCCTCCTCCTCCTCCTTCTCCTCCTCCTCATCCTCCTCTTTCTCCCCTTCCTCTAATACTCCTCCTCCTCCTCATCATCCTCTTGGTTATCCTCTCCCTTCGTCTTCCCCTCCCCCCACTCATCCTCCTCATCCTCCCCCACAAATCCTCCGCCTCCCCCTCCCTTTTCCTCCCTTTTACTCCTCCTCCTCTCTGCCTTATTATCCTCTTCCTCCTCATCATCCTCCTTTCCCTTCCTCCTGCTCCTCCTCATCGTCATCCTCCTACCCTTGCTTCTTCCCCCCTCATCCTTCTCCTCTTCACTCTTCTGGTGGGGTGGGGTTTTTGATCAGGTTTCAGTGTGTGGCACCTTCGCCGTCAAAAGTGGTCGTCCGTCGTCGTCGAATTCTCTTTTCTTGAGGATAACTATTGCTTATCTCTGGAATCGGTTCCGAGCGCTTTCGCCTCGTTCGAAACCGCGGCTCCCGCTCGAGCGCGTGCTTGGGGCTGAACGTGTGATGTTGGGTGCCCAACTACGAGGTCAACGGCTCCGGCTCGATACGCCCTCACAATTTATTCCGAGACGCCTTGGCCGGAGAGGGCCCCGAAGGAACGGCGGTGTTGCTCGAGATTTCTTTGCAATTCAGTCCAGTTGTTGGAGACCCTGCATCGACGACAACGGTTCCGGCTTTATATTCGCGCGCAAGTTACTCGGAGACGCCCTAGCCAGAGAGGGCCATAAATTGAGAAACGGCGTTATTGCTAGAGACCGCCTCGCAGCTGAGCAAAGATGTTGGAGGTCCAACTGCGACGACACCGATTCTTGCACGGCACTTGCTTGCAATTCGGAATGAGCCGCCCTGGCCAGAAAGAGCTACGAACTCAGAAACGGCTGTCTCGTTCGAGAAGTCCTCGCCAAAATCGAGCAAGTTGGCTGAGGCCCACCTGCGACGACAACGGCTCCCGCTCGGCAGTTGCTTACAATGTACCCCGGGCCGCCCTGGCCAGAGAGGGCCACAGACGAAGGAAGGGCGCTGTTGCTGGAGACTTCGGAATTCGTGTACGGCTCTGGCTCGGTACGGTCTCGCATCTTGCGCCGCCTACTCATACGATCACCACACGCAGGAATGGTGCAGTCGCCCCAGACTTCAATCTGGCATTGCCCTCTACAGGGGGAGGATTAAAAGATAGTTAAATAATAGTCCGGGGACTATTTGACTTGTTTGACTTGTTTTATTTGTCGTCCAAAATCCGCCTGTAGGGGGACACGCCCGACCTAACCCTAGATTCTTACCGCAATGTATTAAATTGTGTGAGAGCCCAGGTAAGACGACAATGCAGTCCCGCTCGATGCCGCACCACAGTTTGCTAGAAGACGCCCTGGAGGCCCCCCAAAGCTCGGGAACAGCACTATACCGAGTCTTTCTCGCTCTTCACTCAAGTTGGTGAGTTGCCCGCGGGAGCGTTAGCTCGCACGACGGCCATGTCGGCGCAGTGCGCGCACAGAGTGCGCTGCTCAGTGTTTCCCCCGCTTGTTGGTATGAAAAGAACCCCCTTCAGAAGGGGGCTGGCTCATGGACTTAGCGTTCGGGTATCAGGGAGAGGGAGCAACAAGTGAAGGTCAAAGCAGCTTGTTAGATCGCATGTTCGCAACGTACGTGCAGGCTTGTTGACGCCGTCGTCATGGTTGTCGTGATCGTCGTGTCGTCGTCGCTTCCGTCGCAGTGCTGGTGGTCGTCGTCGTCGTCTTTGTCGTCTCCCCACGTGTATTCGTCGACGTCGCACTTGCCGAACCGCAGTTGTCGTTGCCATCGTCGCCGTCGCTGTCGCACCCGTCGTCGAATCGCAGCCGTCACCGACGACCTCGCCCTCGTCCTCACTGGCTCGCTTGGCCTGCCAATGATCGCCACGGGGCGGGGGCGCTGGGCAGGAAGAGCATGAAAGGGGGGAGAGAGTCGGAGCAGGAAGATGTGTTTCCTTTAGCTGTGGGGACGACGACGACGACAACCACGACGACGCTGACGACGACGACGGCGTCGACGAAGGCGACGACGACGACGACTGCGACGGCGACTGGGGATGTGCTTTTCTGGCTGTGGGGAGCACGACCGGGGTGTAGAGCGATCGCCTGGTGTGGCACACCGAGCACGCGGGGCTCGGGCTCGGGTTGGCGCGCGCTGCTCCCGAGGACCGAGGGTCGAAACGTTGCAGCGGGGCCCTCCAGGGCCCTGGCCTCCTCGCCGCGCCTCCTCACCATACGGATTGCCCGTGTGCCCTGACTCCGGATCCGCCCTACTTTGGGGAAATTCGTAAATAGGGCTTGGAATTTCCGCCTTACTTTTCAAGCCCCGCTGATGCCAATTTCCGCCCTACTTTTCTGTTGCTGTTTCTGTGGATTTCCGCCCTATTTTATGTTGGGTGCAGCAATTTCCGCCCTACTTTTTCGGCCTCTTATAGGTGGATTTCCGACGCAATTTTAAGTTAGAAAAAAGCCAAAGTAGGGCGGATCCGGAGTCAGGGGGCGGAGGGCTCGGAGCCCCCAGGTGCCGCGGCGCTGGTGACGGCCGCCCTGGCCTGCTGGACGGCGCCGCCGCTCTCATGGCCGCCGCGGGCAGCCTCGCCCAGACCCGCGGCACCGAGACGCCGGCGCGCGCGGCGCCGACAGGGAGCCCTGCTCAAAAGGGGCAGGAGCTGCTGCTCGTCTCGATGCAGTGGGGGCCCGCGCCGAGAGGCGCCCTCCTGGCCTCCAGAGGCTGGGTAGTCGAAGGCCAGACTGTCAGATTGGATTGGGCCCCACGGGCCAATCTGGCCTGGCCAAACTGGATGATTTGGGTTATTCGCCAGACTGGATTCGCGTTGGCGCCCCCTCGCCAGATTGCCCCCGGTTGCCAGATTGGGCCTGGCAGATTGGCGCCAGATTGGCTTCGACTACCCAGAGAGTGCCCTTGGTGTCTTGGGCTTCGACGGTTCTGCGACGGAAGGCGTGGCGTTCCAACACCAAAAAGCAATGGAAGTCCTTGGGCCTCAGGTTGTGGAGGTCGATTAATGGAGAAGAAGCATGCTGCCAAATAATTGCCAGATGTCTACAAGATGTTTCAATTCTGTTTTTTATAATTAGAAATGTTTGAAATATGTTTAGAACATTTTCCGACATGTTCAACACATCTGCAATTCAATGATCGGACTGTTAGGGTGCCTATTGTCGTGGCATCCAAAGTCTCAGGGTTGCATTTCTTGTGGGAAATTTCACGTGGACTGACCTCCCCTGTGAGGGAGCGACTTGCGCAGGGGGGGGACACGTCGACCCAGAATCGGCGATACATCGCCGACCGATCCGCGCTGGGCCGCCCATGGCGAAACCGGGGTAGACCCCCGATGGTGTCGTCCTCGTCCTGGGGGCGCGCCGTGCTTCGAAAACAGAAAGCGACAGAAACCAGAACATGAACTGCTGGCGGTCCGCGCGGATTTCTTGCCTGTGCGTTGGGGCCCCCTTCCTTTGACGAGGTGTTCGGGGTTGTCTCGGGGGCGCGCGGTTCCTGGAGGAGAAGGAGGAGGAGGATGAGGAGGAGGAGGAGGAGGAGGGGTCCTGAGATTTTCCCCATTTTCGGGCCCTCGGGGCCCTCCACGGACCCCGGGAATGGCAGAGAACGGCTCAGGATGACGAGCTCGTCCTGGGGGAAGGCCCCTGGGCCCAGGACCGGGTTCCCTCGGGACTCGTTCTCCCCCGTGCTGAGCTGTGCGTGCTTCGAGGTAAACAGCACGGCACAGACATGATCTGTGGGCGGTCCGCGCGGATCTCTTGGATCTGCGCTGGGGCCCCCATGGGCGGCGCCGCTGGCGCCGCCGCGCGGACGGGCAAACGTCCAGATGCTGAGGCCGTTGTTTGTTCCTCCGGCGCCGTCGCTCCCTGGGAGCGGCCTCTCCCTCGGCCGCTCCTCGGGCTCCTGGCCGCGCCAGCTCGGCCCGAGTTCGAGGCTGTACGGCAGCGGCGGCTCGCGCCGGCCCCTCTCCGCCTCCCCCTCCCGCCCTCTCACCTTGACGGATGAGGAGGCTCTGGGAGGAGGAGGAGGAGGAGGAGGAGGAGAGGCTCCAGGAAGACGCCTCCCCTCTTCTCGTCGGGCCGAGGAGGAGGCTCCAGGAAGAGGAGGACTGTGGATCGTGCGAGGGAAGCGATCGAAGAACAGGCAACAGAAGCTTTCGACGCTCCGCGCGGATTTCTTGGATCGGCTTTGGGCCCCTCTGGCGGCGCCTCCAGCGCCGCCCCTGGCGCGCTCCGCGCGCCAAGGAGCTGAATCCGGCGCAGATCCAAGATGTCCGCGCGGAGTTGTGAGAGTTTGTGTTTATGCTGTTCTGTATGCTTCTGAGCTTACGTCGGGCCTATCCCTCTACAGAAGGAATATTCAGGAATAGTCCCAAAATAGTCTGGGGACGATCTTTCGACTATGTTTGGCCATGTTTGAATATTGCTGGGGGTATTTGTAATTTGTCGTCCAAAACCCGCCTGTAGGGGGACCCGCCCGACTTAAGACTACGCCCTGCCCCCAGCCCTCGCCGTGCTCCTCGGACTGGTTGGGCGGCGGGGTCGCCAAAGAGCCCGCCGCGGGCCGCGAGATGGGCATCCGCTCCCCTCCTCCTCCTCCTCCTCCTCCTCCTCCTCCTCCTCCTCCTCCTCCTCCTCCTCCTCCTCCTCCTCCTCCTCCTCCTAAGCACCCCAGCCCAGACGGGGGGGTGCAACATTCTGATAACGCAGCCTTCCTTATCCCCCCCACCACACTTCCCTTTTTGGTGACGGTGCTAGCTGCGCCACAGCTCGGATGGACATCCTCATGGGACTCTCCCTTTGAGTGTTGATGCTTTGAGGATCGCTGCTGGCCGCCAGGAGCCAGTGTAGCATCATGAATGGCATTTCGGTGATGCAGTACAACCCGATGTCTGCGGCACCACATGATAGGCTGGTGGATGTGGCAGAGGTTACATCACAGTTCGACTTCGTCTGTCTCACAGGGAGGACGGGTGCACGGCGATATGGGAGGGATGAGATCGTTTGGAGGAGAGCGGGGAGGAGGTGGACACTGAAAGCAGGATGGGCAAGGGCAGCGGGCAGCAATCGTAGCTGTTGCAGTATTTTGCTTGGCCCACGTATCCCCAAAAGATCAATTTCGCACACCTGCTTCCCCATAGTGGCCGTGGATTTGAATTCAGCGTCTGGGCAGCAGCGTCTGAGTGGAAGCGAGGACTGGACGCCAGTACAGGACGATCGCTTAGGGCATTCTCACTGGTTGTGTCACTCAGCGGATGTGCTACTGCCCTTCCTTCAGATGCTCGATTTGGCCCCGATTAACTTGCACATTGGAGTCGGTCCTACATATGCAGGACCTGTTGGTGGCGCATCGCTGGAATATTACATCTGCATACATCGATGTTCGCCCCCACAGATCACCTCGGCAGGACCGCTCAGAAGTCTTGATAGGAAGGTGCAGTTAACCAGACATCGCGATCATCGCGACCATCCTCCGCTGTATGTCCGATTTGAATATACTATCCAGGCCACCACAGGAGGAGAAGCATTAGGACTGCAACTCAACCTTCGCCTTGGATGCGCCCCTCGGTATGTCAGGTGGAGCAAGGAGGCATTGATGGACAGCTTGAGGAGTGGAGTGGGGAGGGCTGAGTTCTTGCAGGAGCTTGAATCACACTTCAGGAGGAGCAGGAGCACTGGCAGCTGATCAGGAGGGAGGAGGAGACACCTAATGCAGAGTGGGGCTACTTCATTAACTTACTCAGCACGGTTGAGGAACAGTTTTTTGCCCAGAATGTACAGCGCTCGGCAGACTACCCACAGAAGTCCCAGAAGATGCTCTCCCTTATGGCCCAACGGCGTAACTTGCGTGAATTCTTGGCTGCTGCCCAGTCCTTAGAGTTTGTGCAGACCTTGCACAGATGCGGCCGACGTACTACAACCGCAAGAAGAAAGTGCAGCCGAAGTTCTTCAATCTCCAAACGTTGACGATCGCCTGGGACGGGGAGAACGTCGGCACGGTTCCACAGCCTGGTCTCGCACGGGGGCCAGTTCAAGCCTGGAGGCCCCCCCAAGGGGGGACTCGAGCGCGAAGCGGAGCGCCTGCTGGGGAAGCGCGGGATGAAGAGGGGCGAGGACGAGCAGCTCAGCGAGGACGAGCTCAGCGAGGGCTAGCTACCTTGACTACGATCAGGGGGTCTGCTCGAATGGCTCAGATGGCGAGAGATGGCTTATTACAGCAAGTTGGCCTATCTAATCTGCAGAATGGGTGCTCAGAGCCGATGTCATGCTACCAGACGCCCGCTGGACAGGAGTTCAGAGCCTTCTATGTAGATGAGTTGCAGCACGCTATTTCTCTGGTGGATTTGGCTCGGCGGGCCTCGAATGTGCGATCTATGAGAATGCGAGTTGGCCCACAGGTTGCCATAGTCTCTTCTGGTGACCAGGCCCATCGCCAACTTGTGAGCACGCGTGCAAACCATGAGTTGTACCACGCGGGCGATGATGACAGGATCTCCAATCCCCAGCCGTAAGGCAGGACTGGGTGGCCTTCGGGCGCGGAGGTCGTTTTCTGTTCTGAGCTCGTCTCTGTTGCCCTGTCAGTTCAATTGTCTTGCACTCAGCATTTTCACATTGTGCAACGCGTGCGTGTGCATGTTGATTCGTCGGTTGTGCACTTCATATTTCCATATCATGATGCAGGCAAGCGACCTCTCGACTCGCTTGCATATCCGTTCAGCTGCGGTGCGGTGCTTAGCCGAGGCCTCCAGGTTTCTCCCGAAAGGAGGTTCTCGGATTGAGCCAGTGGTGCCCCCCAGCAGAGCGATCTAGACAGACGCTCACAGAAGCGTACACAGATCCAGAATAGGTCAACTGCAACTTCCAGGCGCCCTTCTCTTTTTGTTTGCTTGCCATGTGTAGCAGTTCGGTGGATCGCAAGTGTGTCTTGTCTTGTCCTCCTCCTCCTCCTCCTCCTCCTCCTCCTCCTCCTCCTCTTCCTCCTCTCCTCCTCCTCCTCCTCCTTCTCCTCCTCCCCTTCCTCCTCCCCCTTCTCCTCCTGCTGCTGCTGCTGCTGCTGCTCCTCCTCCTCCTCCTCCTCCTCCTCCTCCTCCCCCTCCTGCTCCTCCTCCTCCTCCTCCTCCTCCTCCTCCTCCTCCTCCTCGTCCTCGTCCTCCTCCCCCCCCCTCCTCCTCCACGCACGCACAGACGCGCGCACGCGCGCGCACAGAACCGCAAACGCAGCCGGGGCCCGCGGCACGGCTGGCGCCCCGCCGCCGTCCATGGCCCCGCCGAGGACGGAGGAGGGGGAGGAGGAGGAGGAGGAGGAGGAGGAGGAGGAGGAGGGGGAGGAGGGAGGAGGAGGGAGGAGGATGCGGAGGAGGAGGAGGAGGAGGAGGAGGAGGAGGAGGAGGAGGAGGAGGGGGAGGGGGAGGGGGAGGAGGAGGGGGAGGAGGAGGAGGAGGAGGAGGAGGAGGACGAGGACGAGGGCGAGGACGAGGACGAGGACGAGGAGGACGAGGATGAGGAGGAGGAGGAGGAGGAGGAGGGGGAGGAAGAAGAAGGGGAACGGTGGCGGAGGAGGAGGAGAAGGCAGAGGGGAGAAGGGGGAACGGAGGGGGGAGGGAGAGAGGGCAGAGGCGGGAGGAAACGGGCGCAGGAGGAAGAAGATGAGGTGCGGAGGGGGAGGGCAGACGGATAATGGAAAAGCATTGACGCCACTGCCCCGCGCACGC